TTTAAAAATATATTTTTTTTATTTATTATTTTATGTATATGAATGTATTGACTGCATATGTGTAAATGCACCCATGTTGTGCAATGCCCAAGGTCAGAAGACTGAGTCAGACTCCCCTGGAACTGGAGTTACGAATGATTGCCATGATGTGGGTGCTGGGAATGGAACCCAGGACTTCTGGAAGAACAGCTCATTCTCTTAACTGCTGAGTCATCTCTCCAGCCCCTAAATAGTTATCCTCTTATATGTAATACAGTTATAGTAGTTTTTAATGTTCTTATTATTTTTATTATTTATATCTTATAATTGATTTTTCTCCTTATTACAAGGTGTTTTCATGTTTATTTTCTCTCTTTTTTTTAAATTTTTTTTTTTTTTTTTTTTTTTCAGCCCTCATCTTGACCCCAAATCACTGACCTATCTGACCATCTCTTTGGGACCTCTGTCTCACAGGATGTTGGCTCTGCCCAGCTCTCCTGCTCAACCTGACTCTGGGCTACAGCATCCCTGGGTGCCTATCATTTCTCTTGAGCTTTCTGTAGAGGTCACAGCCTCCTAGATGCCAGTCTCTTGACCTGTACCTCCACTCCAGGGGCTTTGCAAGTGGCATGTCTTTCTTCCCACCCCCCATGGGGTTCTTGCCCAGGGATCACACTCCACTCCTACCTCCAGGGGAGGCAGGTCTCTTGTTGACCCAGGTACAAAAGCACCATCCCTTCCTGGGCTATCGTGGTCCCCGGGAACAGTCCAAACGGAAACTGGTGTCAGATGTGCGGCGCTTAGGAGACCTCTACTTTAATACCGGGGACGTGCTGGCCCTGGACGAGGAAGGCTTCTTCTACTTCCGGGACCGCCTGGGAGACACCTTCCGGTCAGGAGCTAACTAGGAGGCGGGATTCTGGGGGAACCCTTAGGGGTAGGGTTTGTAGTGGGTGGGGCCTCCATTCTTGGTGGGGGAGCATCTCATTCTAGGGGTCGGAGCATCCAACCTTGGGCTAGCCCTCTCTTCCCAGGGGTGGAGCATCCCTTCCTGGTGCAAAACCTCTCTTCCTGGGGTTTGAGCATCCCTACCCAGGACCTTGCCCCTGAGCCCTGGCTCCCCCGCTGCAGGTGGAAAGGCGAAAATGTGTCCACACGGGAGGTGGAGGGAGTATTATCACTGGTGGACTTCCTACAGGACGTGAATGTCTACGGTGTGCCTGTGCCAGGTGCTGAGAAGTTTGCATGATTTCTAAGCATGTGGTAGCTTTGTGGGTGGAGAGTTGTCATTACAAATGGGGGATGTCTTTGGGCACAGAGAGGTTTAAGAGATAATGCCCAGTAACACAGGCAGCGGGCAGAGCTGGGCCAGGTTGAAGGGTCATTTGAGAGTGACCAGTATGCTTTGCAGGGTGTGAGGGTAAGATGGGCATGGCTTCTGTGAAGCTGGCTCCTGGGCAGAGTTTCAATGGGCAGAAGCTATTCCACCACCTCTGCTCCTGGCTCCCTGCCTACGCCATACCCCATTTCATCCGTGTCCAGGTGAGTCAGGGTGATAGGGATGGGGGAGTTGCTGTCACAGCCAGAGGATCACAGTTACTGCTTTGCAGGACTCCCTGGAGATCACCGGCACGTTCAAACTGGTGAAGTCCCAACTGGCTCGTGAAGGCTTTGATGTAGGAATCATCACTGATCCCTTGTACATACTGGACAACAAAGCCCAGACCTTCCAGACTCTAACGCCGGATGTGTACCAGTCTGTGTGCGAGGGAACCTGGAAGCTCTGACCATCCAGCCAACCCAAAGGACATCTGGAAGTGTGAGGATCCAGGCTGGCCACTGCCCTCGCTCTGGGTCACCTCCCAACCTCATCAAAGTTGCCAGGATCCCAGATGCACAGGGCCCTGTAGCTCCATGAAAATAAACCTGAATATGTATGCAGAGGTCTGTGTATGGATTTGAAACAGTAAACAGGTGAAGGGTTCAGTGCTCCCTCTTCTCCAACCTACTAGAAGGTTCTCTACCAAGGACCTTAGATACCCCTGGGGATGGTCCTGTCTGCCCAAGGCTCAGGGTGTGGGAAGAACTGGTGGCTTTGAAAACACTCCATTCCATAGAAGAGAGCACTGACTTCAACTCTGAAGGTCAAGGCTTGAGTCAGGGTGGGACACCCAACAAAGATACACTGCCCTGTGACCTGTAGTCTGGAGGATGTGTGGAAAAGGGCAGGAGACAGATACAGAGGTGAACAGCAAGAGATGGAGAGGAGTGGCTCTGACAGATAAGCAAGTGGAGTGGCCCTGGGGTAAGTTCCAGTATATTCCAGAGGGCCTGGAGTATTTTTGTTTTTTTGGAAGAGAGGTGACAATGAGACTGGGTCTTTTTATGTAGCCCTAGACTGGCTTACAGCTCACTATGTGGACCAGATTGACCTTATATTTGCCGCCATCCTCCTGTCTCTGCTTCCTAAGTGGTGGGATTACATGAGTTATGTCACCATACCAGGCTGTAAAGTAAGCTTTTTTTTTTTTTTTTTTTTTTTTTTTTTTTTTTTGGTCTTTCTTGAGACAGGGTAGCCCCAGCTGTCCTGGAACTTGCTATGTAGACCAGGCTGGCCTCAAACTCACAGAGATCCACCTGCCTCTGCCTCCCAAATGCTGGGATTAAAGGGGTGCAACACCACGCCTGGCTAAACTAAGCTTTATAGGCTGACAACCACAGGAGGCAAAAGGCTTCCGGAAATGGAATCACGGTACTGTCTCAAAAGGTTGCAAGTCCTTTCTGGCCTTGTACGTACTGTGGGTAGGGGCACATGGATACCAAAGCTACTTTGGAAATTGAGGTTCCCCTTTTGGGGTCTTACTCTTATTAATAAAAAAAAAATTAGAAATGGATTCAGAATGAAGTTCAAGGACAATTTTATTAGCATTTGAAAAGAAAAACAGGGCAGACAAGCTACAAATCATGCCAATTGCCAGGAGGAAGGAGGTGGACAAGAGTAAGAAAGTCATGCTTTTAAGAAAGCAGGTAAGTGAGCCAGGCGTGGTGCATGCCTGAGGCAGAGGCAGGCAGATCTATGTGAGTTCCCAAGGCTGGCCTGGTCTACATAGCAAGTTCCAGGCCAACTGGAGCTATAGGGAGACCCTGTCTCAAAAAGAACAATAACAACAGAAAGCAAGTAGTGGAGGCCAGCAAGCAGCCATATGGTAGAAAAGGAGGGGAGTTTCAAAAGAAAAGAGCAAGAAAGCCCAGCATGTCCAGGAAAGCATGTGTGGGCTTCGGCCAGTGTCTGAAAGAAAAAGAGATCAAAAGAAGAAAGAAAAAGAGAAAAAGTTATATATTTTTGAATACTTAGAAAAGTGGTCAGGCCACAGTGCAGGCTACCTGATAGAAACTCTAACTGCACAGGGGAGGGGTTTCATTAAAGGGATGATTATTCCTCCAGCTCCTTAGCATGCCTTCAGGAGACTCAGTTTCCTTAAACAGTGGTCTCCTGACCAGGTGCTTGACAGGACCAGCTCTATTTTTTTCTTATAAAATATTTTATTTATTATTCTTATTTTTCGTGTATGAATGTGTTGCCTGCATGTGTGTAAGTACAGTCCTGTCATATACAGAGCCTACAGAGGTCAGAAGAGGGTGTTGGTTGCCCTGGATCTAGGGTTACAGATGATTGCGAACCACCATGTGGGTGCTGAAAACAGACCCTAGGTCCTTTGGAAGAGCAGCCAGTTCTCTTAACTGTTGAACCATCATCCCCCCCTAACTTTTTTTAGGGTGGTATCTTTCTGAGACAGGATCTCCCTGTAGCCCCAGCTGGCCTGGAACTCACCATGAAGACCAGGTTGGCCTGATCACAGAGATATGCCTGCCTCTGCCTCCCAGATGCTGGGATTAAAAGCATGTGCCACCATACCCAGCTTTTTTTGGGTGGTGTCTTTTTTGATACAGGGTCTCCCTGTAGCCCCAGCTTGCCTGGAACTTGCCACATAGACCAGGCTTGCCTTGATCTCACAGAGATCTGCCTCCCTCTGCATGCTGGGTTTAAAGGCATGTATTTTTACACCTGGGTTTTTTTTGTTTTCATTTTTTTGAGAAAAGGCTCACTATGTACCACTGGCTAGCCAGGCTCTCCTTGATTAACTGTGCATGGTGTGCATGGTGGCACACGCCTTTAATCCAGGCACTTGGGAGGCAGAGGCAGGCGGATCTCCGAAGGCCAGCCTGGTCTACATAGTGAGTTCCAGGCCAGCTGAGGCTACAGGGAGACCCTGTCTCAAAAATACCAAAAAACATTTTTTTAATTTTTCCAGAACCAAGCAGGTGCTATGTAGAGACGCTTGAGAGATCTGAGAGTCATTGGAGCTACCAAGAACACCCTGGGGGCCACCAGAGCCCCTGATGTGGCACCCAGAGGCAGTAGCTTCAGAGCCCTCAGGGCCTGTGGGACTGGAGGTGAAGCTGGAGGCCCTGGTACTGCTCCTGGTGCTCACCCTCCTCTGCAGTCTGGTGCCTGTCTGTGTGCTACAATGGTCAGACAGATGGGGTGCTAATCATGAAGCCTCAGCTTCCAGCCAGAAAGTCTTAGGCCTTATAAGATGTTTGCAGGAGAATCTTTTTGGCAACTTGTCTTCTGGACCTGCTACCTGACTACCTGTCTGCCACAGATGAGGCCTTGGCAGCCCTGTACATGACACTCCAGTGTCCCCTGCAAGAGTTCAGGAAATCCTGGCTGTGGGTTTCTTCTGGTCTTGGTGATGGAGCAGATCACACTGGTTTACAAGGTGTTCCTTGTCAGGGTCACCACATTGGGAAGAGCTGAGGGCTCTGATGGGAGCATAGAATGGTGGGCCTCAGAATTGACATGATGGATCAGGGGTCCCCTCAGGAAGCAGGGCTCCAGCAGGTTCCTCAACCCTGTGTGCCTGTGAACTGGTCTTCTCCCTAGCCCTGGCTGTTGGGGTTGCAATGAGAACGGCCTCAGGCAATGGCGCTCTGCCTAGCTTTGCTGTCCTAGCTTTGCTGTCCCACAAGGGTATCCTGGCAGTTAATCTGTCCCCGAGGCTGCTACAGAGTCACCTATGGGTACAGGTGGTGGCTGGCTATGGGATCCTGTTCTCATGTATAACACCTCTGGGTTTTGGGCTGGGTGCAGCTCTGGCAGAGTCAGCTGGGCTTCTGCAGCAGCTGACCCAGTCTGTGCTGGAGGCCATGGCAGCTGGCACCTTCCGGTATATCACCTTCCTGGAAATCCTATCCCAGGAGCTGGCCACTTGTGAGCAGAGGATCCTTTCAGTCATTGTGCTTGCAGCAGGTGTTGCCCTGCCTTGGCCTGCTCTTAGTCCCAATCTAAGGTGTTTCAAGCAAAGGGAAGGGGAGCTTGCCTATTAGGTGTCCCTGTCCTCCCTGCCCTCCTCCAATTTGTGGGAAGTAAGAAGGAATAGGAAACGAAAATAGGACTAAAGAGTTCTTGAGAGGTAGAGATGGAACATTTGGGACTCTAATTAATGTTGGGAAAGTGGGCAGGGAAGAGGCTAGCCTCAGGCCCAAAGAGTAAGAGATAGTCAGGTTACTAGAGACATGATCAGGGCACATTAAGACTGAGGCAGACTGGTAGAATTGGAGGTCAGGTACTATACTTAAGATATAAGCTAATGGGAGGCTGCAGGTAAGCAGCCAGCTGCTCTGGGATAAAGTCATAGGGAAGACATCAACCCAAGTTAGCATCCTGTTGGTTCTAGCCCACTTCAGCACTCTGCCATTTGAAGTGGATCCTCCTACCTCCTCGCTTCTGTTTTCTGTTATCTTTTTTCTTCTTTTCTACTAAGGGACTAGTGAAATGGTCTCTCGGTCTCTCTCTCTCTCTCTCTCTCTCTCTCTCTCTCTTTCTCTCTCTCTCTCTCTTTCTCTCTTTCTTCCCCTCCCCCCCTCCAGTTTTCATAACTTCTCTGGCCTCTCCTGCCCTGCTACTGCTTTATTTTATTTTTATTTTTTTGGTCTTTTGAGACACGGTCTCCCTGTAGTCCCAGCTGTCCTGGAACTCACTATGTAGACCAGGCTGGCCTTGAACTCACAGAGATCTGCCTGCCTCTGCCTCCTGAGTGCTGGAATTAAAGGTGTGCGCCACCATGCCCGGCAAACTGCTTTATTTTCAAAGTGTCAAACACCCACCTACCCCTTTTCTTGACAGCACAGTGATATGGCAAGAGGTGACCTACTTGCTCTGTGTTTTGGTTTCTCAATCTGGAGTGGGGCAGAAATATTTGCTGAACTGGTCTTGAGTGAGGGGAAAGTGGGTGTGACACCCAAGGGTTACTGGAGGTGTGTGGGGAGCCGCCTGCCGTCCCTGCAGATGCCATTACAAGACGGCGCTCACATCCGGTTCATGCTGAGCGGTAAATAAGTCAGTACGCATGCCCGAAGTA